CTGACTAAGGGTGGGTGAATCCAACGACGTCTTTACCCCTGGAAAAGTCATGGCATGATCAGAGCTTTGCTTCTGATTCACTGGGGATTTACATTGAGCTGTAAATAGTCCTGATTATGAGACTCTGAGTATTAAAAGCCCTTTGCCAATCTCTGTTTCTCTCTGCCATGGGTGTTCTTTTGCCCTGGTTTATTGTCACTGCTGCGTTTCCATGGCCTTTGATTTACATTGAAGTTTTCGATACTTGAAAGGCAGCATTTTACAGAGCTCCCTGCAAACGGATTGCTGGGATTACAGCTGGATTGCCCAGAAGCATTTTGGTTTTATTTCAGCACAATTATCAATGCCTTGTTTCCATCCCCAAAGTAAATTTTTAAATGGTTTAAATGTTTTAAGTTGTTTTCTATTGTGCAGCTCTTCAATGCCTGTAGTAGAATTAGAAATAGTGTCTCCTTCCTTTCCAGCTTTGCTCTTTCTAATGAAAAAAAGTCATTAATTCCCTTTCCCAATTCCAGAGAAAGCCAGGGAAATGTGTAGCAACCTCAGTGGCTTGTTACAAGCTTGTGCTACCTCCTTGTATCCCTCTCCATCGCATCCAGGAATCCGGTTGCTCATCATTCCATTGGTGCTCCATCAGAGGAAGCCCAATGTTTTTGCATGTCAGTGAATGTTATTTGAATACAAGTATTTCAGGAATAAATTTAAAGGTCTTTTAAAATTCTTATGTAAATGGTTGTGTAGATTCCTTTTGGAAGGCAAATTAGATGATTAACCTGGAGAGCTTTATGATGATTGTGTCACATGCTTTTACTGAGAGGGAATAAAAAAAGAAAGGACAATCTTTCCTGTTTTGAGTCATTTTAAGTATTTTCTTTTTTTCAGGGGGGAGTTCAGTAATTTCTTTTTTCAATGCTGACATGAAGCACAGTGGATATGAAATCTGGATATGCAGATATTGTGCTGTCATTTATAAATTGTAATAAGAAGCTTGCATGGATGATTTAAGTCATTGTAACCTTTGGATGTAAAGCCAGACTTTGGAGGACTTTGGATTTATTAGTATTAACAGCAGTCAGATTTGTACAGCTGAGTCTTGGCTGAGCTTAAAGGTCTAAGCAACAGGCATGAGGGATCTCGGAGCAGCAGAAGGTGCTGGGTAGGAATGGGTGGTGGGTGAGAAGATGCAGTGACATGAAGTGTCCTTCTCCAGTGCCATCACTCTATGGAGGAGAGAGTGGTCCAAAACCATGTGCTGCCCTTTGGATTTGGGAGAGGCTGGTGCTGACTCCAACCATGCATCGTGTAGGACCCAGCTCCTCTCTGCTCAGGAGGAGGATATGGTCTTCTCCAAAGCTCTAAGCAGAATTGGCATCTTTAATGTAAAAATCATTAGACGGGACGTAATTAACGTTCCTTATTGCACATTAACATTACCCAGAGTCAGGCTGCAGCTGTAATTTGCTTTGATTAGATATGTAGCTTTAAAAATTAGATTCATCCCAACCTTTACACTATTTATTAGCCTGTTTCCCTTTCCCTAGCTATCCATCATTATTTGGAGCCCTTTCCTGCACTGTCTGGGTCAATTAGGTGAAATTAAAGCAGAGTCAGCCTTCCAGTTCCCTGCTGCCCTCCCTCTGGTGTGGACATACCTCTCAGCTTTCTTCTTCCACCCCCTATCCATAGAGGGTCTGCCGGTCCTTCAGAGCCTCCCAAGAGCCATACAGACCCCAACCCACTGAATTAAATTCCCTTACAGAAAGATTTCCTTCTCTTAATCTCCTTTTACAGTCTCCCAGAGGTTTGTGGACTCACAGGGTCAAGCAGAGCAGCTCTGCATCACAATGGAGCTATTTTGGGATGCTTGTGTTGCTCTCTCTGTGATGAGCTGGTGCCTTCATCTCTTGCTGGCAGGACCATTCCTGACCTGATGGCTGAACGTCCCCATCAGGACTGCAACAGAGAGATTTTGGTCCATATGGCATTTGGCCATGGAGCTCCCATGCTTCATTGAAGAAGCTGACACCTTTCCCCGTTGCCTCCCCTGCTTTCAGCAGTGCTGTAATTAACACTGGCCCTGCAGACATGATCTGCATCAGGTCTCCCTGGCAGTGAGAGCCCTGAGGAGCCCAGAGCCAAAATTACAGCAGCACCGAGCTGGCCCTGGGGAGATGAAGGGAATGGAGAGATGGGGAACAAGCCTGCAGTGATGTGCTGGGGAAGGGGAGAAGCAACACCCAGATGTCCCACTGCCCCAGCAGCACTGGGACCTGCCCTGACTGTCCCCCCGTGACCACTGCTTGTACAATCCATCCTTGGGATTTTAAGTGATAAAGTGATTACTTTTCCTTTTTTTCTGCCCCATCCATATATGTCTAGTGACAAATTTAACACACAGGAATCTTCTTTCTCATGGCATTGGTCCTTGCCAGGACTCATCACTTGAGTGTGGCTTCATTCTGGATATGACTTAAGTGGTCTCCTTCCCTACCATGGTGTGTAAGTCTGTGCTGATATTGACGCTTTGCCTTTAGGCATTTGATTGTGATGTTTGGCCATAAAAATCCAAGCCATGTTCTACTTTATTCAGAAAACACAGTATTTCCTTCCCGCCCCGATCCCTTTCAGTTATCTTTTTTTGGTTTCCTCTTCTTATTCTTCTTGTTACCCAAGGCAGTTGTGGAGTCCCCATCACTGAAGGTATTTAAGGTTCATCCAGATGTAGAGCTTAGGGACATGGTTTAGTCGGGCACTTGTCAGTGTTGGGTTAATGATTGGACATGATGATCTTACAGGTCTTTTCCAGTCGAGGCAATTCTGGGATTCTTTCACTGGTTATTCATTTATTTCTCTACTCCACCATAGGACTTTGCAGTGGCTGGTGACCCACTGGCAGCTCCTTCCCTACAGCTGTGTGAGACTCTGCTCCCCAAACCATGTGCAGACAGCAGCAGTGGAGTCCCATCTCCAGATCCCAGGGTCTGGAGGCAACTCGAAGGATGTAGGGATGGATGGAGTCCATTTGGCTGCAGGACAGGTTGTGGTTGGCATTTTTATGGCAAGGGTTTTAAAAGACCAACTTGGGGGTGGGGGGGGGAATTTTAAGTGACACCTAGAGGAGAAATTAAGGAACATAATGAGTTGGGATTGCAAGGGGCATGGTCTTACTCTCTTGAGGTTGTTTCAAGTCTCCAGGTACCAGACTTGTTGTGAGGAGAGGAAATTTGCAGTGAGAAATCAGGCAATTGTCCTTATCTTGTCTGCACCGAATTCATCTTGTTGCTGACAAAGCTCAGCCTTGAGATGGCTCTGAAGGTCCCTTACCTCCAGCAAGCAGGGAGGTTTCAGCCTGTGGTTTGAAGAAATACTGCAAATCCTCCTATTTTGACTTGTTACTGTGATATTAATGGTTATTGCAAAGCCACGAGGACAAGCCAGTGGTGTGAAATTCCTTTTCTTTATACAACGAAAAAGAATGGCACCCACCAGCTGAACCCTACCTTATAAATATTCAATCAGCAGTTTGTAGGAATGTGAGACAAAGCCAGACAGATGAATTATTTAATGCTTTTAAAGAATGCAGCTTTTAGTTTCTCCCTGGGCTGGCCTAGTTTATTGTATCAGTAAATCGATCTTTAGTAAATTAATTTCCCTCCTTTTGTTTGAGCAAGCAGTGGGTATCGTGGGCTGGTGGAAACCTTCTCCATCCCTGAGCAGATGCCAGAACATCTATGTAGCTGTGGACTTGGGGGCTGAGTGTCAGAAGAGAGCTGAGGTCCTGTCATTAATTTTGTGCCTTTTGGTTTGCATTAGTAGCTCCAGCATTAATGAAAAGCAGAGAGTGGGTGATTTTGATGGCGACAGCCTACAGATGACAGGGAGGTGTGGCACTTCTGAGGCTGCTTTTGGGACAGCCTATAGAAGTAGATGTCAATGAGACTTGGATGTAAAGGGGTTTGAGAATCAAGCAGGTTGAGGGAGGGGATTTTACCCCACTACTCTGCTCTGATGAGACCCCACCTGCAGTGCTGTGTCTGCCTCCGGAGTCCTCAGCATAGGAAAGACATGGACCTGTTGGAACAAGTCCAGAGGAGGCCACAAAAATGGTCAGAGGGATGGAACGCCTCTCCTATGAGGACAGGCTGAGAGTTGGGGTTGTTCAGCCTGGAGAAGAGAAGGCTCCAAGGAGACCTTATTGCAGCCTTACAATATTTGAAGGGGGACTGTAAGAAAGGTGGGAACGGACTTGTTAGCAGGGTCTGAAGTGACAGGACAAGGGGTGATGCTTTTAAACTAAAAGAGGGGAGATTAGGTCTGGATGTAAGGAAGAAATTTTTTACAATGAGGGTGGTGAAACCCTGGCCCAGATGGATGCCCCATCCCTGGAAACATTCGAGGTCAGGTTAATCTGGAGTACCTGCCTAAAAAAGGAAGATTAAATCCACCCAAAAATGTCCTACACTGGCAAGGATGGGAAAGTCCCACTCCTGTGTAAGCTTTTATGGAAGACAATGTAGAAGCAGAGCACCAGCGGAGTTTCCTCTGAGTTTGTGTTCAGCCCAGACTTCTGCTCATTAGAATGTTAATAAATGAGCATTTCCCTGCTTGGTTGCATGCTTGTTGGAGGTATGTTGCAGTAAAAGCTGATGGTGCCTCAGGGAAATAATCTCAGGGGTTATCAGAGCTGCTGGGAGAGGAATTGGATTGGCACTGGCCAAACTGGGAACAGTCCAGTGGGTCTTTCCATGCACAACCCTTCATTTATTAAAATCAGGGAATTTGCTCTCTGTATTTACACAGTGTTGTAGCAACAGGACAGTAAATATGTCCAAAAATACTCTGTGGACTAGTTTGAGCAAATGTGAAAAAACCTTGCTCTGAAGACTGACATCTTCTCTCTTTTTATTTTTTTTTTTAATTTTTAATAATTTTTGATTGTTGTTATTTTTTGTTATATTTTTTATTTTTTTAAATTTTTTGTTTATTTTTTAAATTTTATTTTTGTATTACATAGTTTTCTACTAGTTTTCTCCTGCCTGGTGCTGTCTGTCTTTTCAACTATTGATGAATACCAGAACAGCTCAGAAGGAGCCCTTTACATCCTGGTAAGTGGGATGCAAATGAAACCGTCAGTGAGACATTAAAACAAAGTCCAAAACACATGAAAAACTGAGGCTGGGGTGTGATTAACTAGGGAAAGCATTTG